TCTGTAGCCCAACTCGGCTTTCCAATACTGACCCAAACATAGCTCTCATCCCCTCTGCTGAGGACCTGTGATTGAGCAATATAGCCGTTAAATCGGAAGATCGTATGGTATAGAGCCACAAAAATGAGGCAGGTACCCCACCTTGCAGTAGCCCTCTGAGAGTGTCTGGTGTACTGGGAGCATTGTCTGGAATTGTTGGGTAAACCAATATCATAGGACGTAACTGAGCCTTCCGTCACTAGCAGGCATGCTCGCCCAGTAAAAAGATATCTCAAAGTAATGCAAGTATAGCATTATGGCAATTAGGATAACCATATAACAGACGAGGTTGAGAAATGCCACAAGCTTCAAATGGAAGCCTGCCTCAATGTACGTAGATGAAATTTTTCATGCAGGCCACAATGAGATCGGCTCAACAATTTACGATAGGGTTATGATTTTAAACATCATAAAGTGACAGCATTTATGGTGCCATAATAATCAATACCAGTGCCCTTTACTGTTGGAAAAGGCCAGAAAAACTACACCTGTTTTGCTAGATCTTCCTTGTGAAAGTTAATAGAGTGTTGCCGTATGACAGCATTTTGGAATCTGCCGGAATTACCCCAAGATCTGCTATGAGTCCTACCTGTAGCACATCTTCCCTTATAGGAACTGGAAGAAAGTAAAACCTATTTAATAAAATGAAGTAACTTACAACGGGTCATCTAAGAACCAATTATGGGAGATATGCATGTTACTGTGAAGGGCGGTAAGCAAGGCTACGAATAGGTAAAGCTCTAAGCCTAAGGAAGCAGAAGCTCAAGTTTTATTGAACCTTGCAAAGCAACCATAGACTAAATGACTTGGAAGTTCTATTGAAGAGTTTTATATTTGAATGGGGTCACATTGAAGGTCTCAAATCGCACCAGATTGAATGGTTTTCTAAGGTATGCCGAGTCCACCCTACATTGCTCTCAATAGATATGTCATAGAGCCAGAAAGCTTTTTTATTTTTCGACTGTTTAGCGCTCAATATTTTAAGGAAGTATTGCTAGCTAGATATTACATAGTTTCGTTGGACGAATCCCCTCTCTACACTAAGGGTGATATTCTAACTCGCAAACTTAGCCTTCTTCCTCTGTATTCCTATATTATTTTGGACCACGCTTGCACCTCCATAAGTTGGCATAACAAGCTACGGAAATATCCAATGTGGGCATCTAAGATGTAATATTAGTTGCGTGTATGATACCTCCTTACAACCTATCAACAATAACTCTAATTCCTTGGGTGCAGCTTGCATGATGCAGCACTATCAGCGTCCCATGTTATCTAAAATTTCTCGCGGGTTTTCACAATATTAGGGATGCACTCTATAGACAAGCTTCTTTGATGTTTTTTAACTTGAGCCCTCTTCGATTTGAGATGAAGCAGTGAAGAACCATCTGAGTAAGGACAGTGCTCATTATGCGCTCCCAGCTCTAGCGCGGGTAATAATATAGGGAAGTGGCATAGCGCAGTCATATTAGCATTCAGTTTATGCTGTCATCTACTATGCGGTAAAGTATTATACAGTTTTTGGCAACACTAAGAGAGCTATGACCGGGATAGGCGACTGCTTGGCAATGAGCTCTACCTTTCGAAGCGATAAAATGTTGTTGAGAACCCTCACTGGCCTTCACACAGCTATAATATATGCGCCCCACTCCTTATCCTTCTTCCACAATTACGATGATAGAGAATGTAACTGAAGAGAATCTATCTTGCAACAACCCTTAATGCTTAAAGCGAATCAGATAGAACCGGAAATAAACAGTTACTTTAGGGAAGTAGGGACAATCCTTGAAGGGGTAGCAAAACAAACAGGTGATGAACAGATTTAGTTTGTCGGGTCTTAGACTTTGTTGCTAATTGGTGCTTATTTTACTTGCTATATGCGCGTTTGCATATCATAATATCACTAGAGGCTTTCTGAGCAGTACATTGAATGGCATGTCATGTTTGTTAATAGGACAGGGGGAAATCTAATCAAATAACATATATCTACAAGCAATATGGTGAGTCCATTAGTTTCAAGACATAGATGGCTGCTACGAAGTAAGTTTCAAGGCACACATCCACGCAGGGCGTTGTCGAGGTTGGTTTGTGTATGTTAGTAACTCCAGATAACCGATGAGACATATCGTATTGGATGTGGAGGTGGCAATTCAAAGTAATAGGCTGAAAGCTGGCCCGATTGATCCTAGCATTACGTCAGAGGATACCCAGCCCTGTTGGCAAAGCTGACTGAAGAAGTGGCGTAAGGGATGAAAGATGCATAGATAGATTAGTACTAGGTGAGTTTATTGATCGATCTATTCAGGGCATGGCCTGCTTAGTCATGATGATAGCCGTTGCCGCATTGTCCCCTCGAGCGGGTTACATAGCTTATCAATAGATTGAATCAAGGGTTAATCAATATTCGATAGATGATTAACTCAATTATTGTCAAGTGGAATGCGGCAAGGCCAAGACGTTGTCTAGCACATCGCCAGAGCCATCTATAGATTGTCATGGAAAATCAGCTTAGCAAGGCCAGTATATGTTAAGATATATATATATATATGAATCACCTCTGACATACTGCGTAGACGATCCCGCTGTTATATACATGTAGTTTTCATGACGCCTGTCAATCCTATAACGGGGCTGCGTATCAATTATGCAAATCAGATTGAATGGTCCGGCTTGCGCCAGCTAACCGTTATTTCCGGCTCCAATTCCACAGGAAGGTCTGTAGGTGCTGTACCAAAGCGTTACAGTACTGTACACAGTATGTGATTATCTTACCTGAGATCTAGACCACAGCTGAGTGCTTTTGGACACGTCGAGAAGGAAGCCAAGACACGTGGACAGGAGGGGCTTGAAATGGAGTGATAGTCATACAGCTCCCGAGCATATAAATACCTTTGCTCCCCTCTTGTTATCCCGTTCCATACCGAGAGGCTGGTAGTTGTCAAGGTGTCAAATTAAACAGCTGACTCGGCACCAACCCTTTAAGCTCTTGTTTTGTGTGAAGTATAAAAAGAGTTGACTGGAAAAGCTACCTAATCCGAGTAAGCAAAAACGGCTTGTTCGTTTCTGCCGTGGAGTAAATCCCTAGTACTGCGTTTACCTAAAGTGGTTGCCACTCTTTCGTACAGTACCTGACTGGAGACCCACGGTTGGGTGTATGTGCATTACAACCCTGTGGCAAAGTTGGTAGAAATCGAATTATCCCGCGTACAATCGGTCTAATAAGGTGAGAGAATAAGTTCACTGCACATGCAAGGGAGAAAAAGGCGCTGAGTTGATTGATAAGTCCCCGCATGTCTTATCGATATCCAAGGATTTATCGATATGAAGTCTATGACGACGGTTTAGTGGGTAAGGTCTCAGTGTCTTACACCTAAATTAGGTACGGAGCAGGGTACCAGGGCTTTACTATTCTCCTCCATTCTGGGAACTGGTTTTCATAATCGCTGGCTACCCTTCAGCCTTAACAGGATGAAAGCTTTATCTGATTGGATATGTATGTATTTGGAATGCTGTATATACAATACGTACATTCGAAGTACTCGAAACTATGAATAGGATTGATGGCAGTAGCAATAACGAAGATACTGTACTCGATCTGTAAGTAGTTTACAGTCTGTATCGTATGATGGGGCGCGGGAACGCTTGGGGTTACGCGTGACGCTCCCGCCACTAATCCAAAAAAAGCCAGCAGTCAACAACACACAAGACGCGGTGCGCGCGCGAGCAGAAACATCGAGTCCCGCTTAGAAGATTGGCTGGAAGACCTGACAAGAGGCGACGGTGCCAGACCTACACTACGACAACCTTCTTTTTCGGTTGTGTTTTTTTTTTTTTTTTTTTTTTTTCTAATTTTTTAAGAGGAATTTTACAACCTCATATCTTCATTCAGATATCGTTCTATTGTTGCCCTAGACGGCAGAACGGTCTTTGAAAATAAATATCTAACAAAAACTTTACTCAATTTAGGTCCCATAAGGGAAATTCCTCGGGCCATTCATTTAGTTCGCAAGGGCTCGCCTCTGCATACCGCAACTTCGGGCCTTCGTCAGCCCCTCCGTCTGGCCACCCATCCCTTTCTTCCTCTCTCGACTTCGATTTGTTTCGCGTGGCTGTCTGCATTATTTTTCTTCTTTGGTGGACGGTTTCGAACCTTCCACCCCTTGCGCAGTCATATGCCTGCCTGAAGAGGGACAATCAGCTTTTTAAAGAAAGGGAGACGGAAGGGAGACCAACACTCCTGCTGCTGGTTCCCCTTCTATCAAACTAAATCGGCCCTTCCTCACATCTCTACTCCCAACCCCCTTCTTGCGCATCGGAATTCGTGCGTCAACATCATCGCGCCTGGCTTCGACCTAGTCGCTCCTGCATCTTTGCGACGCGCCTGCTTGTTTTGACATCTTAGTTGCTGTCTTGAAACATTCCTTATCAAGCCGTTTCATCTCAAGCGCCAAGGGACAAAGTGAAATAGTAGGAGGGCGTTCTGTTTCAGGCGCGTGGCTTGCGTGGGTGCACGAAGAGCTGCTTTTCCGCCCCCGCTCGCATAGCAGCCCTGGGTGTATGGGGGCATCAAAGAATACAGTGTGATTTCCCTTGAGCCTTGCAACAAATCTGTTGTGATGTGCATCTATCACTCGTTTCGCATTGACAATCTGTTTTGCTTTGATACGACCGCTGGTGCTGTACCTTCCTTACCTTCCTAACATTCCACGGAAATTACTTCCTCCTTTACTGGCACTGGCTAGGACACGAGAAGCGCACTGCCACTGGCTCTGTTGTTGTCAACGGCCGTCGCGGGTTAAGACCCTTCCCATCGACTACGCAGCACGCATCTATCGCCAAGTGCGCCTCTTCCAAATTCGCGCCTCCGCCTCATCGCAGAACACTCGAATCCCATACTTTAACCTCACTACAGACTACGACCGTTCAGAGTGGTTCTAGCCTTTCAAGGCCACACCATAACAATGGTTGCAACGTTTTCGCCGCATCGTGATGCGGGCGGCACACTGCATCTGCCTTCACACACCGGGATTCATCATGTTGATGCTAGCTCAGCCATTCGACAACTCCGCCGGTCACTATCGCGTTCACCCTCTAAGAGCTCCAACTTCTCACTTCTCGCGACCAGAAACCACTCACCGTCGAAAACCTCGCCATATGTATCCTCCCCACTGTCACCTTCGCGACGATCTTCACAGGGCAATTTCGTGCTCTTCCCTAGCTCCTCACACCAATCACCATTCGCACTGCCATATCCGTCTAGTGGTAAAATAACCAGACCTGCCGTGCGCCGTGTACGCACCTCACCCAGGAGTCCCGTAAAACGCGCCCTCAACCTCTCTGTGGATCAGGGAAATGCGAAGCCCGTGCAGCCAATCTTAACAACACCCGGCGTTGAGAATTCTCCCGTAACCCCAGACATAAACGTCCCTTCGGACGATAATGCTAGTGGGAGCGGCTGTTCTCCGAACTCGCCCTCTGGCGCAGAAGCTCCTGCACCTCGTCCGACGCTATCCAGAATTGAAAAGCGACGTAGTGGGACTTTTGGCTCATATGCAACTGTTAGCCCACTAAAACGCAGTGACGGGATCATGAACCTAGATCGGGCATCTCGAGGAAGCCCGTCAGCCAAGAGGCGCAGTGTGCACGCGGTGAACCTTTCGAGCGAGTTTAATATATTTGATAGCGAGGCCGGCCCAACTACCGTTGAAGAGCCAACGTGCGAGGTATCGTCCGAAAGTGAGACGCCATTATTCCCCACCAACATCACCCCGTTCAGTCCTTTTGCTACAATACCCAAACGCTCATCTTCTTTGCGACGATCTACTCTTCAGCAACGCCAAAGTGATCGTTCCTTGTTCTCCCGAGCAAGGGCCGTCGCTGAGCCGCCTGATGTTTTAAGCACTCCTGCAAGTCCATGTCCACGATTGCCTTTGGATGGCGGTCTCTTTCAGTCTGATCGAGATAACTTGTTTTCTCCACGACCTGTACCAGGCAGTCCGTTATTTTCGTCGGCCGGGAATACTGCTGGCCAGAATCGCTCTGCTGTCCACCCGCTTTCTAGGACTATCACGCAATCTTCGTCCAGCTCCAGTCTAGTGGAGGACTCGCCGACCCATGAACCAGTCCATAAAGCTGATCACCCAAGAGGAATGTTCAATTTTTCCAAGTCCCTTCCAGCTGGAGCAACTCGGCCTGCTCTTGTACGCCAACTTACCCGCGAAGACTCGACCTCATCCATAGATTCTTTTGCAACCCCAGAGAATTACAAACTTGTGAAGCCTCTCCCAGCGGCATTCATGTCCACAGGTCTGATCTCCAAGAAGAATCGTAATGCCGAGGACCCCCAAAACATGTTGGGTTTCAACAAGAACATGCCTGATACGCCGTGCAAACGGCCCATCAACTTGTTCCCTAGCGGGCAAAAGGCGCCGCCAGAACGGTCCCTGGGTTTCTCAACATCCTCTCGCCAATCCGACACAGTGCCTCACTCCCCATCTAACCCACCTAGTACACGTCCAAAACCGGGCCCTTTCGCACGTGGCATGGGTATCTTCGGGAACACCTTTAATAAACAAGGGCCCTCCCGTCGTGGTAGTTTTGTGAGTGTGGATGGCGACGAAGTTCAATTACAATCACCATCTGGACCGCGGGATAGTCAGCCTTTGAGTGAATACGACTTGCCACCAACACCAACGAAGCAAACGTTTTTCCCGTCTCGAACCTATCCCCCCGCTACTTCACAGATCGCTTCGCTCGAAAGATTATCCGAAGCTAGAGGAGCAAATTCAAGCCCATTGCACGAAAGGTTCCTGCGGGGGTCACCGCGCACGCCTCAGGATAACCTGTTCCCTCCTGATCCTAGCGGCCTGTCGATTTCCAATGACCAGCAAGCGATCAGGCCTGATTTCAGCGCTGTTAACCTACCGGCCACTCCCACTGGTCCGCGTGATTCTTTATTACTGTCAGGGAAGCGCCCTAGTCTCCCACTGAACGGTTACGCCCCAGATGTGGATCCGAGTTTGACATCGCGCTTCGACAGAGTTGAGCTTGTTGGTACTGGTGAATTCTCCCAGGTATACCGTGTATCTGAACCCCACAATACGTCATTGTCGTCAATCTTCTCACGCAGCCCGAAGTCGCCTAAGATCTTGCCCGAGAAGGTATGGGCTGTTAAAAAAGCGAAACAGCCATATTCTGGACTGAAGGACCGTGAGCGTCGGATGCGTGAAGTAGATGTGCTGAAGGCTTTGACTAACTCGGATCATGTTATTTCTTTCATGAACAGCTGGGAAGACAATGGCCACCTTTATATTCAGACCGAGTTTTGCGAAGAAGGTAGCTTGGATGTCTTTCTGGCCCAGGTCGGACTCAAGGCAAGATTGGATGATTTCCGCATATGGAAAATATTGCTCGAGTTATCTATGGTACGGTTTTGACCGCAAGTTTGTAACACTAGGCTCTGCTAACCATTATTAATAGGGTTTAAAACATATTCATGACATGGGCTTTATTCATTTAGATTTAAAACCCGCCAATATCCTGATCACGTTTGAAGGCGTCCTGAAAATCGCCGACTTTGGGATGGCGGCATCATGGCCGGCAGAAGAGGGAATTGAAGGTGAGGGGGATCGTGAGTATATTGGCCCGGAGATCCTAATGGGCCGCTATGATAAACCTGCGGACATATTCTCCTTGGGTCTGATCATATTTGAGATCGCTGGGAATGTTGAACTCCCAGACAATGGGCTCTCATGGCAAAAGCTGCGGAATGGGGATATGAGCGACGTTCCTAGTTTGACTTGGAGTGCAGAAACCAGTATTTTCCGCGATGCATCTGGGAATCCAATCTCAGAAGAGCCATCATTTGAGGAGTTGTGCACATCGGACTTTGGGGATGATACATTTGGTGAAGACAGTTTCCTGGGAAGTCGCAGGTCCATTGAACGGAAAGCAGTGCAACTCGCTCGTACTAGCGAGCTCCATGACCCTCCAAGCTTTATGGTTGACGCCGGTCATGAACAAGCCTTGGATAAAATCGTGCGATGGATGATCTCGCCGGAACCATTTGATCGGCCTACAGCCGATCAGGTTTTGGAGGTTTACGGTGTCCAGTTTGTCGCTCATCGTCGGCGTGCTGGGGCTACAATTTACGAAGGCAATTGGGGTCCCGCCGACGAAATGCTAGCAGAGGATGCCGAAATGATTGATGTTTAATCAGTGCTTGACATATTAGTGCATTTGGACGGAGTTGGTGCTTTCCTTTACGGTTAACATATAATGACGGCGTTGATGCGGAAATCCGACCTTCGATAATAATGTCCATCACCACCGACCTCTGGCTCGTGCTTGGTGTTGTTTTTCTCTATTTCTCCCCCTTTATTTCGTGTGCAGTGGGCGGCGGGTTATCTCGAGACCTGAATCTCTATTATACTCGCCATGCCAGGGATCTTTCCGTTTTCTTTTCTTTTTTCGTTTTGCTCCCGACTCTAGCCGACCACCCTTCACGATTTCACTGATTTGATATGACCGATAATGGTGTTGAAGGGTTTCACACTCATTTCCTCATGATATTTCCTATGTTGTCACCCTGATTTGAGCGTTCGAGGTCCTTTTTCTTTTCCTTTTTTGTGGCCCTGCCCATGTCTGTATGATTGGATTCCCGCAGCCTGGCCTAATAGGAAGTCAGGATTGCTGTGTAATATGTGATTTATATTTCCCTTTGTTTTGATGACTTGACTCTTGTTCTCCTCACGACTTTGGGCGTTATTAATGATTACATTTCCCCCTACATTTGTGTTTCCATATCCCTTTCAGCAATTGTTATTTATTTCCGCCCGCCCCCTTCTGTGAGTGAGTGATAGGTTAAGAGACGTGAAAACAGCCGATATGTGATCAAGCAGGCTTGAGAATAGGTGATGCTTGTGATTCATACTCTTGAACGCGAACCACTTCTAGACGCCAATTAACAGGTAGCCAGCGAACTATAATTTTCAATATTCTTTTCAAGCTTGACACGAACGTGGATATAGAACAGTGTAGTGTTATGTGAGACTTGGGAGTACGTTCCCCAATTGTTTAGGCTCGCCACCAGCCGACTTCTTGGCGGTTGACTTCGGGCGGCGAGATTCTTCGCAACATCTACGCGCCAAAGGGCTGGCCACACTCTAGAGCCAGTCACGCCGAATCCTTTAATCTTTCTGCTCTACCCTTCAGTTCACCCATGCTTAGTATTTATTTTGCATTTTTTAAGCACATTCTGACATGACGCGCCGCTTTCTCCGAGGGTTACAATAAAGAAACACTTGTGCCATCTGCTCAAGGTCTCATAACAGCGATCATATCGCGGATTGATATAGTGCCAACCGTCTAACTTGGATCTGTACTAATTTAAACATGGACAATCGAACATTCGTGTCGGATTCTCTCCTTCGCCTTACCAATGCCTCGGACCCTACCGTCGTCGACTTTGTGCTCGCCACTGCCAGCTCGGCCAAGACAGTGGATTCATTACAAGAGAAGCTCGTTCCTTTCTTGGATGGCAGCGCAGAAGATGTTAATGCGTTTTGTGAGGAACTGTATAAGCGGGTTGGTGCAGACGCAAAGAGTGGGCCCAGCAGCAGTGCTCAGAAAGAGCGCAGTGATACCGCGTCAAAAAAGAAGTACCGGTTGATTGAAATGGAAGATGACAATCTAGACTCTTCAAGCGCTTTAGGACCCACAAACATCGAAACAGAAAGGGAGAGGTGGAAACGCAAGGACCACCGAACCAAGGAGGAGCCCCGGGGGCACAGTCGCTGGGAAAAGGAAGAAAACAAGAAGCGCGGGCGGAGCGGGAAGAGAGCCGGGATCGCCACCGGTCTAAGAAGCTACGACGACGGGATAAAGAGGATTTCGATGATCGCTGGGGCGACGAAGAGATTCCGGATGATGAGTTGTATGAAGAAGATGAGCAAAGCGGCAATAATGAAGAGTCGCCGTCGAAGCGGACTAGGTTGGAGGATGGATCCGCGTCACCCCGGTCGACCGACTCTGCAGACCTGGATCCAGAGATGAAGAAAGAAATCGAGCGACGACGGGATATAGAAGAACGAGACGAGTTCGCGAAGCGGTTGGCCAAGAAGGATGACAGCAAAAATAAGAAGATCGTCGAGGACCGGACAAGAAATAGCGAGGTCACACGACGACGAGCTTTGGCAGACGATGCTTCCGCTAGAGCTGCCGCTATGCCAGAACTAAGAATGCGCTCTCGGCAAGAGTATCTTAAGAAGCGAGAAACAGAACGACTAGCCCTCCTGCGCAGGCAGGTCGCGGAGGAAGCGGCCGAGCTACGTGATAATCCCAATTTGACACGGAGGGAGAAAGAGGAGTTTGCTAGAAATCGGGAAGTACTTCAGATTGCTGAGGAGCGGCTACGGATCGATGATTACCGCGATGGGTACATGATGCCGGATGACTATATCACAGAGAAGGGAAAAATTGATCGAAGGAAGAAAGAAGATGCTCTTTACAAACGCTATGTGGATCGCGACGAATATGGACAAGAGCGGTTTATCACGGAACATGAGGAGTGGGAAATGGAGCAAACTGCCAAGGCAAAGGCGCAGATCAACAGGGCAGAGTTCGTGGATGAAGGTGACTATGAATATGTTTTTGATGACTCTCAAAAGATCAACTTCGTCATGGATTCCAAGATGGAAGGGACTCGGAAGGCTATATCCCAGGAACAGCGTATCCTTCAAGAAAAGCTCGACGCTGCCGAGAAGAAGGCGGCATCGATTGAGGATACGCGGAAGAGCCTGCCCATCTATCAATTTCGAGAGGAGATCATCCAAGCAGTCCATGATCACCAAGTTTTAATTATTGTCGGTGAGACAGGTTCTGGTAAAACGACCCAGATCCCGCAGTACCTTCATGAAGCCGGTTTCACAAAAAACGGGATGAAGGTCGGTTGTACGCAACCTCGACGAGTCGCTGCCATGAGCGTTGCATCTCGAGTAGCCGAAGAAATGGGTGTGAAGTTGGGCAATGAGGTCGGTTACGCCATTCGTTTCGAAGACAACACAAGCGATAAAACAGTGCTCAAGTATATGACGGATGGTATGCTGTTACGTGAACTGCTAACAGAGCCAGACTTGAGCCAGTACTCAGCGTTGATGATCGATGAGGCGCACGAGAGAACGGTGCCTACGGACATTGCCTGTGGTCTATTGAAGGATATTGCCAAGGCACGGCCAGATCTGAAACTGTTGATCTCCTCTGCAACAATGGATGCCCAGAAGTTCCAGCAATACTTTGACGACGCACCTATCTTTAATATCCCCGGGCGACGCTATCCCGTGGATATTCACTATACATCACAGCCAGAGGCAAACTACCTGGCCGCAGCGATCACAACCGTTTTCCAGATCCATGTCACACAAGGTCCTGGAGATATTCTTGTGTTCTTAACCGGCCAGGAGGAGATCGAGGCGGCCGAGCAAAGCTTACAGGAGACTGCGCGAAAGTTGGGGAGCAAGATACCAGAAATGATAATTTGCCCTATCTATGCTAATCTGCCATCTGAGTTACAAACTAAAATTTTTGAGCCGACGCCACCGAAGGCACGAAAAGTCGTACTCGCTACGAACATTGCCGAAACTAGTTTGACTATTGACGGTATTGTCTACGTGATTGATCCGGGTTTTGTTAAAGAGAATGTCTTCAATCCCCGAACTGGAATGGAAAGTTTGGTAGTAACACCATGCTCGCGGGCGTCTGCCAACCAGAGAGCCGGGAGAGCCGGCCGAGTTGGGCCAGGGAAATGTTTCCGTCTCTACACGAAGTGGGCTTACTATAACGAGTTGGAGGAGAGCACGACGCCTGAGATTCAGCGTACAAACCTCAGCAGCGTCATCCTGATGCTCAAGTCACTAGGGATTGACCAGTTACTCGACTTTGATTTCATGGACCCCCCGCCAGCCGAGACAATCATTAGAGCCTTAGAGCAACTTTATGCTTTAGGTGCATTGAATGATAGGGGCGAACTAACAAAGGTGGGAAGACAAATGGCGGAGTTTCCGACAGACCCCATGCTGGCCAAAGCGATCTTGGCGGCGGACAAATATGGCTGTGTGGAGGAGGTGCTTTCCATTGTGTCAATGCTAGGGGAGGCCAGCGCTTTATTCTTCCGGCCCAAGGATAAGAAGATACACGCGGATAGTGCACGTAATCGGTTCACGATCAAGGATGGCGGAGATCATCTGACTTTGCTCAACATCTGGAATCAATGGGTGGATTCTGACTTCAGCTATGTATGGGCGAAGGAAAACTTCCTGCAGCAGCGCAGCTTGACTCGGGCACGCGATGTACGCGATCAACTGGCGAAATTGTGTGACCGAGTCGAGGTCACTGTCAGCACATGTGGGTCGAACAATTTGCAACCGATTCAGAAAGCCATCACAGCTGGGTTCTTCCCGAACGCAGCGCGTCTGCAACGCGGTGGTGATAGTTACCGGACGGTGAAGAATGGGCAAACAGTATACCTGCACCCGTCGAGCACGCTGTTCGAAGTCAATCCCCGGTGGATAATCTATTTCGAACTCGTGTTGACGAGCAAAGAGTATATGCGGAGCAATATGCCACTCCAGGCTGAGTGGCTAGTGGAGGTTGCACCACACTACTATAAGAAGAAGGACTTGGACACATTGGGGCTCGAACGAAAAATGAAAGGACAAGGAGCGGCAGGTGAAAAGAGTCGAGACTAATCTTTTTTCTCCTCCCCCTTTCTTCGCCTATATATGTAACCGTGTATTATTGGCGTTTGTTGCTCTCATCAGCATTTTTAGACATCTAAGCAAATACCACATGTATTTATATTGACCATTGACCACCGACCACTTGTCTTGATGATATAATTGTTATTGAGTCCTAATGTATATGTTCTTTGCATGAATTAAACAGTTTGGAGATGTACCTCGGCTATTATCTACAGTCTCTCGCCAGATATGTACAGCACTATACACGACGACATTATTATACTTTATTGATACTGGATGGAAATACCTGTCCAATAACTTTAGTAACTCTCTGTAGGAGTGGAGGTCGTAGCAACGGTACGAACGACCAATCACGGCACGGATATTTCAATTCTCAAGACTACTGACCGCGGCACGGAGAAGGAAGGTTAACCTCGGCTCCTACTGTTGACAGACCATCGTCAGCTCTCCGCTTTTGACCCCGGATTTATTCATCATCATCATCATCATCAATCGATTCAAAGGAACATATTTACCTCCGTACTTACAATACCATCACCACAACACCACAACACCACTTGACCCACGGGCAAAAGAAGTGAACAAGGAACGTGAAAAGGAAAGAAAATCAAAATGTCCCAGACCTTCACGCCCGCCGACGTCGCTTCCCACAACAACGCCGACAAAGGCCTTTATATCATCATCGACAAGAATGTGTACGATGTGACCAAGTTCGTGGATGAGCATCCCGGGGGCGCGAAAATCTTGAAGCGTGTCGCGGGGAAAGACGCTAGCAAGCAGTTTTGGAAGGTATCTTGACTTCCCTACCACTTTGTTTCTTGATTGTCTTGTTTTGTCTTATCCTTCTTTTTGGTTCCCAGGCACTACTGCCATGTCGTCGTATTTCTGATGATTCTCCCTCTCTCGTCCCCCTCCCTCTTTTCCGTATCTCCTTTGCTTCAATTCCCCTCCAGTCTATACACGTTGATCGGTGCTAACTATGACCAGTATCACAACGAGGGTGTGCTGAAGAAGTATACGCCAAAGCTGAAGATTGGGGAAGTGAAGGAGGCTGCAAAGCTGTGATCGAGAATGTTCGAGTATGTGTTGTCTTATAGAAGGGAAATGTGTCTTTCTCCTAACCTTTTCTACATGGTCCGGCCACTTATGCCGGCGTGATTACGCTTTTAGCACTACATTGCACAATACTACCTTTTCATGTACGCATATGCCTGCGGAGTGTTGATTATCCTAGAATAAATGCCAATGATTTTTAGATGATTCCAACGCCCAGCTCCAAAACAATGTTCCTTCCAAAACGATGTAGCCAAAGTGGTATCAAGTGCGAATATAAACGGTAGCGGGCACCTATGCAGATGCCATATGTCAAGACATACAATTACTGATTCTCGAACCTGGTGATTCGTCCAGGGGTATGTATGCATCACCCTGGAGGATAATACCACGCCCACAACATTATTGCAATGCGTTAGAATCCTCCGAATGGGTCGTCATTATGAAAAGATTCGTAATCGTTATACCTTGGGTGATCAAGGTCATAAAATCGCTGGCTTCCCGGGCTCCAAGGACTCGAAGGTTTCCGTGAATGCCTTGGACGTGTCGCATGGTATTGGTTAGATTCGGTCTGGTCAATGAACGCCTCCATGCGGACGGTGCCAATGGCGTCGAAGTAATTACCAGTTCTTACGCTGCCCTCGGAGGTACGGCCACTGGCGATGCTCTGGCCACTGTTCGTAGCGGACGGAGCATATTTTTGAAAAGTGCCTTGCGTTGGAGGCATTAATGGCACGCTACCCTGATTGGAGAAACTGCGGATCATGGGAATTCGGGGAGTCGTATTGCTGCGCTTGCGCGAATGATTGGAAAACCGGGGAATCGTAGGGGGATCAGCAGCATCTGCCATATCTACCTCTGCCGGGAGCTCTGGAACCGGCTCAGGATGTTTAAATGCTCGTTTCCCTCTCGGTCTTGGCCTTGGTCGGCCTTTGGCGATTCTTATAGAATCACGGATCGGGTTGCGACGCAAAGTCGCTGTGGGCGCGGAAGATGCAAACTCTTCCTGCGGTATAGGCGGTAGAGCTGCGAGGTCATGAAGGCCCATAGAGGAATGGCTCAGAAATGACAGGGCAGTTAACCAAACGTAATGTCGTTCGATGGTGGTGGCGGTGAATTTGAGGGCTCGTTCGGGGGTAAGGATGAGGATGGATCGGTTGAATTGATTTTGCGGGTCAAATCCTTTTGGTAAAGGGTTGTCGTCTTTGACGTCAAGGACAGACTGAATTGTCACTGCTCGTAGTTAGCGGCATCCAGTACAAACTTATGAAGGGGAACCTACATTTTCTGCCACTCTTGCCAAGTAACGCTGGTCCACTTGTTGGCTGCTTGCTACTCCACATAACCGCTCGCTCATACGGAGCCAGCCAAACCCATCTTTTGTGCCTTGATCCACTATTGGCGATGTTCGCTGACACCTCTTCGACATTCCGGCCTTCCCAGTTGTCCTTGGATTCACCAACTCCGCCGAAAGATCTCCTCCGACGAACGTACTTGAACATCCATTCTCCTACCATTGTTTGGGCAATAGCATCAACAACACTAGTTGGCTGGACCGATGTCGCCGTGGAATCATCCCGCTGGTGGGAAAACGCGCGTGTGGGGTGGCCGCTATCATTAGATCGCCCTTGATTTGCTCGCCTAATCCGCTGGGGAGTAGTGATATCGTTGAGTGGGAGAGACGGATATTGAGGACTATCCGCCGCACAGGAAGATGCTGATATGGTAGGTGATGATCGGGTTACAGGCCGGTCAGGCTCTGCCTGAGACATTGCGGCTGCAGACCGCACTCGCCGCAAAGTAGGCTGCCGAGTGATTGATGGCCGTCTATGGTCAGAAAAGTCCCAGGGGTTCGAAGGAGTGGGACTCTGCTGACCATCGCGGCCCTTAATTGGGAACTTCCGCGAACTGAGTCGTATGGGGACCGGAAATGGGGGAGCTATACTAGAACCGCCACTGGCACTACCGTCGAGACTTGGCTCGCTGGGGCTCCGTATTCTCTGGTGTGCAGCTGCCCCGTTGGATATCATCGCCGCTCTGCGTATATCCTGCTGTCGTGTCCACGAGGGCACTACTCCTGTTCGTGGACTTATCCGAGAAGATTTACTTGGATTTTTCATCTCAAGGTCGGCCGTTGCATCAAACAAATGTGCTTCTGCGTCCAGTATGTGCTCATCGATTTCCGTGGTGGTCTCGTCTAAGCTAGGATACCCCTGAGTGGAAACCAATTTGCCTCTTTTCAGAGTATATGAAGCGAAAGGTCGGTTTAGTAGCTCATCATCAGTGAAAATATCTTTCGTCTTGGGGGACGCTTCCTCATCACTTGGTTGGTCAAATCCGGCAAAGAGACTACTGGATCTCAGGGGCCGTCTCAAATCTGTCTTTGATTCATCAGACAACGGTCCGTTGTCGTTGTTACCGGGATAAGCCTGTACGCGCTCGTGGGGTTTATTTCGTGCGGGTGCTTGGCTGGGATAGGAGGAGGTGGTGGTATCTCTTCTTTCCTCGTTCTTGGAGGTGGGGCGTGATATGGCTGGATCGGAGGATCCTGAAGATTGGTACGAAGGGGTAAATCTGGGATGGCAGACGGTAGTAAACTCGCAGGCAATTTGACAGGCCGCTGATCAATCCGAATTTCCTCTGTCTGTATGGCAACTGTTCGGCTATCGACAACAGTCTTTAAGTCAGTTTGGCAAGAAGCACTCTTAGTTTGTGGTGGCAGAACCACACTCCCTCGAGGCGAAGAAGGCTCAGAGCACGGTGGATGAATTGCAATCATTGGGACCTCAATATCTGAGGAACTAGGACAGGTATGGGTAAAATTGGCACGTTGCTCATGTGTTTCAGGAGCAATAGGTTGTTCTGTCTGGATTGATGCAGAGACCATGACAGCCTGACCAGGGGTATTCGATGGCGGCGATGATTCACCAAGCTTAGGAGTCCAAGGTGGAGTGGGCGAATCACCGACAGTTTGAGAAGATGTCGATACCATATTTACTGGGGCCATCCACGTGCTGCTGTCTTTCGTCTGGTATGAAACAGGGTCGTTACGGCCTCCAGCATCCTTCTCGCAGGCCACGGGCCCAGTCTCTGGTTGCAACTTCGGGGACGGAGGGGGGGAATATTGGATTCCAGCATCTTGATAGCAATAGCTCGCTGTCGTTGCTGCCGTTGGGGGTGGCTTCCAGGGACTACTAGGCTCCGACTTGAATCCACAACTTTCTACACTATGGAGAGAGAGGCCCAGGATCTTCCTCGCCTTTGCTCCCATTTCCATTGTGTGGGACAATTGCGAATGAACTGATGTTGGGCGTTCTTCCGGGAGTGCCTCAGGTGAATAAGGGGTAAAATAATCGTCAGGCAGATCAAACTCATCTTCCTCGTCGAATGCTAGTTCTTGCGCAAGGTTTATCCCGTCGTGTTTCGCACCGGGTATATTGACAACACTCGCCACAGAATACCGAAGATCATGAAGATCACTCCCGTCAGTGCTTACGCTTGTGACACTGGTCCGCCGTCTCCCTTGACTGCTCGAGTGGGCGCTCGCAGTATCACTGTCCTTCCCCGTGGCTTCGTCTTTGGCCAAACCAGCCCCATCAGGGTTTTGCATCTGATGGAAATTGCCAGCTGCTTGGACCGCTGCCACTTCGGTCAAGACCACCTTGAGACGCCCCTCAACAACATGGATCTTGCGTTCCAGATTTCTACGCTCACCGTCCCAGAGTTCCTTATCGCGGTCCCAAAGCTCCAATGTCTTATCGATCTCGTCTTCCCGACTGCGGGCTTTCTTTTGTGCCTGGTCCAGTTTCTTTCGAACATCTGAGAAATTCTCTAGCGCTTCATCTCTCTCCCTTGAGAGCTCCGTAAGAGCTGAGGAGGTACCCCCTTCCACAAGCTGTAGCTGATGTTTGAGAGACCGCGTCTCCTTGATACTCTGTGATAAACGCTCATTGAGATCCTCGGTCTCTATACGCGATTCATCCAGAGTTCGCTCCAGGACATCAATGGCTTTTGTTTTACTCTCCACGTCCCGCCGTAAAGACAAAATCTCCGAAACAAGTGAAGCATGTAGTGTTGGAGTAAACCTCCTGGGATCTAGCGGCGATAAGGTGTCCTCGTACGTGGCATCTTGGAAGTCACGGCGTCCATCGAGGAAGAAACTCTGGTTTGATGGAGATGGCGGCGACGATGATGGGCCAGGAGAGGAATCTCCACGGGAATGCATAGACGGACCTCTCCGAGGTGTGGTAGAGGGTGTGGGGAACACCTCTGCAGGGGAAATCTGGGAGACTGTCTCTGTTGCCATCACTTGATAATAGAAAATCAAGACTTCAAGACAACCGCAGATTTGAGAGGCTTATTGAAGTACAACCACAACCGGGCTCGCACACCTTATACCATTGAAGAGCTGCGCTATGCGGGGTCCATCTGACCTTCCGGACGGTGCAGATGGGTAGGGAACAAGACGACAGGAGATATGGACGCTGTCCAGCAGCTATAGTTGCTGATGAGATCTTCAGCAGGGGATTTCTGGTTCGCCGCAATGAGCTGCGTCAGCTATTTGCACGCATGGGTCAAGATAGACGTGGTTGGGAGGAAAGGCAGTAGGCTTTCCACCTACACTTAGATCTAGTTGCTACCCTTCCTCAATCACAGAGAGGGCCTTGCACAGTCTTTCAGACTCCGCTTGGGGTCAGGGAGAATGAGAAAAGAAAGAAAAAGATAACGGCACAAAGAAAGAAAGGCAATAGCAAATGGGATACCCTGAGAGCTTGGCTTTCCTTAGCCACCCAGTAAAGGGGGAGAGGTATGAGAGAACTGAATTGGCTCGTCGACGCGGGGAGGTGGAGGAGAGAAGATTGTAGATCGCGTTTAGGGATAGTAAAAAAAGATAGGCGGAGTCAGCGAGCGAGACTGACGCCCACCAAGGGTCTCATCGATCCTAGACAAAAAGATCTGAGGAGGAAGGGGACACGGTCTACATTGTATGAGACCCGTTAGGTCAAGGACGATCAAGAGCTAATGAGCCTTGCGGGCTGCGACCTCAGAACTTGTCCGAGCATCGGGATGTGCACGACGTGAGGACAAGCCGTGGCTAAGTTGCTAAAGCATTAGTTCTTCCAGGGGTGTTCGTTAGGGGGGATGGGGAACTAAATCCACGCTCCCGATTAGTGAGGAGGATCAAAAGAACGTCTCCACTTAAGCTGCCAGTGAGAGCAAGTATGTAGACTACTAGTACTAGTAGTAGTAGAGTACGGAGTAGTACAAAATAAAACTCCCGGGCATGAAAAGCGGTATGGTACAAAAGACGAATCAGAGTGCGCGTGATCGGCTGTGGCTGTAAGAGTGATAGTACTCGTAATTCCTGCAGCGGCCGGCAAGAAAACCATCGTATTCAAGCAAAGATTGGACAGGCCAATCGTCCTACGGGGGTAAAAGGAAAGGAGGGAGGGTAGGAAAATGTGAAACAAGGTAGAAGTCAACCGCCAGGCTGGCCAGCTTTTGGTGGTTGAGGGAAAACAAACAAAAAAAAAAAGAAAAGGAAAAGTACAGTAAAGTCAAAAAAAAAGGAGACACTTCAGCCAGTGGAAAGGGGACGAAGGAGCGGTTAGTCCAGTGATCGTCCAATTGTGTTAATTTAATTGTACGGAGCAAAAGCAGAGCCCGAGTCTATCCTCCATACTCCGGAGTAGTCCTTCGACTAGTTCAGTGGACTAGGTAGAGGAGGTTCATGTCAACCATTTGATTTTCGGACCAGTTTGAAGGGGGTCCACAATTCGATGCGGTTGTGTTTTTCGTTTTCTTTTTTTGCTCCTCCCTTGTGGTTGCTGGTGAATTAATTGAATTGGACAAGAAATATCGTTGGTGATTTTGGTCCAACTTCATGTTATTGATTTTTACTGTATCTTTCCAATGATATTTCCTATACTCAAGCGTTGATTGTTACTTTTGCTTCGTACCGATGGATGTATTTACTAATTCCATCAATCCAATTCCTCCTGTGACTATCCATGCCGGCTTTTTCTTTTGATAGTTTTTTCCCCTTCTTGTTTCTCTTTCTCCTGATCGAATCATACGATGTCTCCAGAGAAGGCAAACCGTTGGCTCTGTTGCCTCTCAAGCGATCGTCCATTGTAATTTCCCAAAGAGCCCATGGTCCGTGTTTCAGCCTCTCCTAATTCAACCGTCACATCACATAAGGCGTTCTTTTTTTAAATAATTAGCTGTGACCAGATATCAATCCGATTAATACTGTTTACTTCAATGTATGTATAGAGCACATATTGTACATGAAAGTATATGGATAGCTATGCAATGGAGAGGTTCAACTAATCCATCCATCATCAGCGACTTTTGCCCCTGACTCAGCTGCCATTGGACATCGTTCAGTTGTCGAGAGCAATTTTCCACCAGGAGTACCTACGGACATATGGGATGCGGGAACAAGTCCGATGTTTTTATCCACCTCTTTTTGGGTAGACAAACTTACAAAGGAAGCACCCGAACAGGATCCTTGGGTCTTACAAGGTCAGCTCTCCACTTCTTCCACTCTTCGGCACCGATTTTTTCTGGGTATTTCCCCATTTCGGAAATTAGATCGGAGCTGGCGACCCTTGCTGCAAAAAATTGCTCACTGGTCATTCTATTGCTGATCCTTGGAATCAGATATATGACCAAAAGAAGAAGAAGAATAATAATAATAATAATAGTACTGCTGCAAACGTATTGTTACTAGAAAGAAGAAAGGAAAAAGGAAAAGATAATCCTGACTCGGGGGAGGCTCTACCAAGTGTATACTGCTAGTACAGAGTATCTCCGAACTGTAACCTAGTACAAGTCCCTACTACTACTAGTACCTACATACCAGCTTGTGACTGGCTTCGAGACTAGCATGGTTTAATTTGAGGAGATAACCAACCCTAACCTATAATCCGATGGCTATCCATCACAATTGGGTGGCTTCTCCGTTAGTTCTCCCACCGTTCGAACTTTACCCAACCAACTTTCGTACTCCGTATAGGTACCTAGTAGCTAGCTGGAAATTGGAACGTGTGCTCTTCCCGACTAAAAAAGGGAACGTGAGGGTAAAAACTATTTTAGGTCATGCGTACTGGATTAGAAGCATAACACTTTTCCTGATTCGCAACTGGGATTCATCGAGCGACCCACACGGCAAGACATACTTCTCTCTTTAGTTCAGGGGCAAAAGTTGACAGGTCATTGTACAATGGATTAAATTAATATTAATGTATTTAATATAGCCCTTGACGGTCGAGGCTCGACAAGGCTGCTGGCTTCTTTGTTCAATTGATATATCAGACTACAGATATTACACGGGAAACGAAAAAGAAAAAGGAAAAGGAAAAGGAAAAATTCCCGAGGAGAAAGAAAGAGGGAAACCACTCCGTTGGAAATAGTCTTTTTTTTTATCTTTCTTTGTTTTGTTGTCGTTTCCCCTGAGGGGGGGATTCCCATTGCCGAAGTCTCCAGACCTTTTCCGACGCCTTGTGTGTAACACGAATTACGGATATCTTCATGCACATCCAAGTCTAAAATACTCGAAATATACCAGGATTGCGCCGTTGGGGATCAGCCAGCTTGCAGCTGTCAACGCGGATGGGACCCAGTTACGTTGTCGTCACTCGTCAGCTAACAATAAAGACATGCATGGCCCTCCATTTGCCGGCATCGCATATTCCGTAGTCACATAATCAATCTGAAGCAGCGAACAAGTGATATAATGTGATGGATCTAATGATCGTCTGTAGTTTTCTGGAGCTAACAATATATTTTCCTTTTTCCTTTTTCAGGTTATGAGTTGACCCATGTCTGAATTACCACATCACATGCGTATTCGCGAATATCTCGCTTCGCGATGAACAGAATTGTGGCAAGAGTCGCAGTTCGTCATTGCTTGCTCCTCTATTAATGATTAAGTCATAATGTTCTCATGATTCTGACTAAGCAAGCACAGTCGGAAGAACGATGACATGAACAATGATGCTCCGTTTTGTTGATAGTATATACATATGAAATCACTACGTTGCATATCATACTAAGCTGGTGAAACACCTTGGCGTCAATGCCCCAGAGTTAGTTAAATATATGTACGCTGTAAAAGGTCAAAGTTCACAGCATGTCAATCAATATACTTCCCAAAGTCTTGTCCTTCGACGTATTCGGAACCGTTGTTGAATGGTGCCCATCCGTCACAAGAGAGTTGAACGATGCCACTGAGCGCGCCCTTCATGATCCCCGCAAGTCTATTCCTCCGGACGAACGCGCACGGGTCTCACAGATGACCCTCACAGACTGGTTCTCTGTTGCGGAAGATTGGCAACAGCCCTATGGACAGTTTACTGCCAAGTTTGACCCTTTCTAAGGCTTCGTTTCGGTCGATCAGCACCATCACACTGCTCTGTCCAAGCTACTCAAGCAACGGAGGATCGAGAATCTCTTCACAGACAGCAAGAAGTGGGATCTATCGCTCCGCTGGCACCGACTTGTTCCGTGGCCTGACGGCGTGCGAGGCCTGGAACTGCTGAGCCGAAGATTCCGCACGTGCACTCTGTCAAACAGCAACGTCTCTCTACTAGAGGATCTCCAGCGCTATGGCTCCTTGCCTTTCACGGATATAGTCAGTGCATAGAATTTTGGGGCATATAAACCCTCCCCTCAGGTGTACCGCGGGGCAGCCGCCCGCTTCGATCTGTACCACAGTCACTGCGCCCTGGTGGCAGTCTATCTCTCAGACCTGAAGGCCACCAAAGCACAAGGTTTTCAGGCAATATACGTTGCACGTTCTAAGAAGAGACAGAAGATATATCTCAGGCAAAGCAAGAGGGATATGTGGATCTTTGGATCGAGTTGAACACAGGTGGTTTTGTTGAGGTTGAACGGCAACTTGGCATTCAAGTGGCAGTTAAGCCATAAACACATGGCATATATTAAGTTATGAAAAGAGCAGAAATTATCTGACTCTCTCATTTATGGTCCTGTGACAATGAAGCCACGGTACTGTACATGTCCAATTAGAGATGAGATATGGAATGACGCTATAAGTCCAACATGGATGATGACCAACATTGTCACTTTAACTACTGGCTGGTTGCTTGTTCTTGGGTATATTTTCTTTTTGCTTGACGGCTAATTTTAACTGCTTCACTGATGAATACAATTGTTTACCCCTCACGCTGACACAGCAGGTAACGCCATTGATTGCAACAGAAGCACTGAAATTTGTCAGCCCACTGATTACAAATTCAAATCATTGAAATCAAATTCACCCAAGCCGACACATTTAGA